TCAAAAACTCTCCATGCATGTTACCTTCCCCAGAATTTCCCTTTAATGACTTTTTATTTTTCTCCTTGGTTTTCTCAGCAATGGGACGTTAGGTGTGGAAAATTGTAACATCTATGCTTAATATATATATATATATATATTTTTTTCTTCTTTCTATTTGAATAAATAAAACTTTTATTTGAATACGTTAAAACGTAAACTTTACTTTAATTTGAATAAATTATGATTTTATTTGAATATGTTAAAATGTGAAAAAGTTTTTATTTATTTAAATAAATAAAACTTTTATTTGAATACATTAAAACGTAAACTCATTAGAATAAAAGTATAGTTTCATTCGAATAAAATAATAAAATTACATTTATTCAAATGAAAGTTTAAAATTTATTTATTTATTTTAAATTTATTATTTTAACTAATTTTTAATCTAAAAATATTATTTAAAAATTATTTACTTACTTTTAATTAGTTATTTATTTTATTTCAAAATATTATTTATTTAGTTATATAATTTTGGCTAAAACCCTATTTTGGTCCCTTATAATCTTTTTTTGTTTCAATTTAGTCCTTCATTAATTTTTGGTCTCAAATTGGTCCCAAATTAATTAATTGGTTTCAATTTAGTCCCAAATTAATTAATTAGTTTCAATGTGGGACTTCCGTCCAAATTATTTAAACGGAGTTAACTTTTGGCCACATGGATGCCACGTAGATGCATACGTGGCATCCACGTGGATGAGAAAATTCTTTTTAATACACCTGGACCCGGAACGGCCCGTTCTGAAACCGGAACGGGCCGTTCTGGTTGCAAAATTAAAACACCACCAGTGAAGCAGAACGGGCCGTTCTGAAATCAGAACGGGCCGTTCTGGTTTCAGAACGGCCCGTTCCAGAACTGTGAATAAAATATTCTTTACTTAATTGTGTTTTTGATATTATAATTATGCAATTTTGATCTCTAAGGTTTTAATTGAGTAATTTCAGTCCTTAAAAGATTATAATTGTGTAATTTTAGTCTCACAATTTTTAATTGAACAAATTAAAATATAATTAATAATATATATTATAAAATTATTAATATTTTATATAAAAAAAAATAAAATAAAACCGGAACGGCCCGTTCTGAAACTGGAACGGGCCGTTCTGGTGCATTTTGGGTGTGTTAATTTTGCACTTGGAACGGGCCGTTCCGGATGCAAAATTAACACACCAAAAGTGCACCCAGAACGGCCCGTTCCGGTTTCAGAACGGGCCGTTCTGGGTCCAGGTGTTTTCAAAAAAATTCTCATCCACGTGGATGCCACGTATGCATCTACGTGGCGTCCACGTGGCCAAAAGTTAACACCGTTAAAGCAATTTGGACGGAAAGTCCCACATTAAAACCAATTAATTAATTTAGGACTAAATTGAAACCAATTAATTAGTTTGGGACCAAATTGAGACAAAACATTAATGAGGGACTAAATTGAAACAAAAAAAATTTATAAGGGACTAAAATAGGGTTTTAGCCTATAATTTTTTTATTTAAATGATTAAAATAAAAAATAATTAATGAAAATTTAATTTATTTTTTATTTTTTATTTTTTTACTCTATTGTTTATTTATTTCTCTCTCTTATATACTTTATTTATTACCTATTTCTTTCTATCTTACTAAACATGCATAATATTAATTTTCACCATTTTCTCTTCAATTAAACAATCAAATTTTAAAACTATTTCTTTTCTATTTCTACTCACCTATTTCTCTCTTCTCTATTTCTTTCCTCTCTACCAAGTACACCGGTAGTGTTTGTCAATGCATCTATATGATTGAGATTTGAGAGATAGATGGTCGACCAAAATTAAACTCTTTAACTTGGATATTTGATATATATATATATATATATATATATATATATATTATA